GACAGGCTGGGCCAGTGACAAAGAGCCGGTGGCCCAGGCCGAAACCCGGGAGCGATCCCTTTGGGGAAGAGAGCATAAACCCCTTTAGAGATAGGAAAGATGCAACTCACGTTGTCGATCACGACAGGCTGGTTGGCGATCACATCGTAGGACTCCATGGCAGAAGAATATCTCCTTCCGAGGAAGGAACTGCCAGCCGGGTCTGCTGCTAACGCCACTGACACGCATGCGCAGTCTAGCCGCCGGTCCAAGGCGGCTAGGGAGCGGCCAGACCTCGCCTCCGAAGAACTACAACCCCCAGCATGCCTTACCCCTGGGTTTAACTCGCCAGGCCCCTTTGGAGCCCCGCCTAGTTTGAGTAGGGCGTCGCATTTCGACGCACAGTACCCTGGGCTTTGTAGTCTCCTTCGATGAATAGACGGGGACGCAGATTGATGACTGTATTGCACGCTTGGCTCTGTAGTTCCATTGAAGGGATTCGCAGTGCATGCTGAAGTATGTAGTCTTCTGGAGTACTTGTCTGTAGTTGGGTTTGAATTGGCCGGTAATTCGTGGATGTTTAGATTTTCCAGGTCAGTCCCTGCCACCAGTTCTCCTGGACAATTGCTGTGTTTTTATTTGGGTCAATAAGACATTAATAAACATTTATCAGCATCACATTCGAATAAAGGAACATTTAATACACGCACACGGGGAAGGAGGACATACTCTCAGAACAAAAGAAAATGCATTTTATAAAATTTGCTTTTTGGAAAAAACCGGCACATTTTTTGCTTCTTTTCGCATTTATTCCTGGGTAGGTGTAGACTTTGCAACAGGTTAACATTGGTCTGAAGACTGGCATTTGTAACTACGGGTACAGATGATCTTTTGTTCATTAAAACATCGTTCATTTAATAGCTTCAGGAACTGCTTTAATATCTCTATTTTTCCATGGAGAATTAGAATGGACATTGAGGAATGAGAAAATGGAGGTGAAGAGAAGTTTTGTGTCACTGCTTTCAAATGACACCAATGCATTTTTCTCCAGATTAGGC